AGGCAGCCCTGGCACAGAACCTTGACATTGAAAGCCAGAGAAACAGAAAGCCTCTCGGATCACTGTGGAGTGGTCCATCTGAGTCGAAGCCGCAAGCCGAATTTCAAACTGAGCTCAATCCAAGCCAAAACTGTGCGGCCGCCCCCGGCACGCATGTTCTTCTTGCATGGCCTGCGGATCTTGGCCTAAACCGGCGAGCATCATCTGCTCCAGCTGCTCGAAGGCCTCAGACAATGCTTCTGGGACTCCGTCTATGTTCAAGGGCTTGCAAACCACAGCTGCCGGCTTGGGGGGGCTTTGAAGGGTTTTGGGGTGGGAGGGGGTTGCACTCTCAACATTCAGCCTGAGTCCAGCATAGTCCAGCTGAGGCGAGCGCCGAGGAGCGAAGGCCTGCAGTAGGGTGCACGTTACTCAGCCCTTTTTTTAAGGGATGGACACAACATCACGCGTGTTTCGCACAGCAGGGCGGCTTCAGGGGTTGGCGGCTGCAAGCGCGGCGCATCCGGAGAAAAGCAGACTGAAATCACAGAGAGGGTATCTTCTGAGGGAGTTGCACAAGCCTCTCGCACATGCTTTACAGTCTTTAAACCTTGAACCCTAAACCCTGAGACCCGGCACCTAGTGCAGCTTGCAGGCGGTTCTCGAAGGCCACCTTCCAGGCGACGTCCTCCGTGCGTTGGCAAACGGGGCTGAGAAGAATGAAGACGGGGAAGAGTTCGTTGCGGAGTTCCGGCGCGGAGGGTCCACGAGTCTACATCCTGAATAGGGGACCTACATTGGCACCGCCCTGGCTATTGGCGGGCTGTGCGTCCAGGGGATTCAGGGTGTACGGCGCCTGATTAGCCGAAGCTCTTGAAGTCACACCAAGGATCATCACCCATCCTCCGCCTTTCTTCCTCCGCTGCTAGCCTCTCTGAGTACTGCTTGGGGCGTGTTCGCCCGTGGCTTGAGATGCCAGCTCGAAATCTGAGCTCATCCCGTCCTCCTGTTACGTCGAAGACGTTCGAAAGTCCCCAAAGCTCAAAAAGTTTTAAGCCCCCCTCCCTCAAAAACACGCAGAAGACCTCACTCAAAACAAAAATGGAAGGCTGCAGGCTCCGGCCTTCCGAGGTTTGGCGGCGACGAGCAGAGCGGCGACCTGGACAGCGGAGCCACAACACGGGCGGGGGGTGGGGGGGGGCCCTTCCGGGCGCTCTCCGGGCGCTCTCCAGTAGGCTTGGGAGGGTTGGAGGGCGCGCGAGGATTGGGGGCTGTAGAGGGAATACTCTCCAGAGAGCGATGTATGCAAGTAGGGGAGCTCCAAGCGGATTCTTGTTGGTCCGAGACTTGGGGTGTAAGGGCCATGGGACTCCTGCTTGGGTCCAAGGCCTGACATGGTCCCGACGCCCATTTCAGCAGCTTGGGTGTGTTCGAAGGTCTGGGGTTGACAGCCTCTTGCGGCCCTCCGCGCCCATGGCTTCGAGCTTTTGGGCGTGCTTGGGGCTCAGGGTGGCCCAGAGCTGCAATCGAATCCGATGGCCCTGCTCCTCAGTTGGGACTACGAGTGTGAACCGGTTACGCTGGGTGCCTTTTGGGCTCGGGCGGGCTGAGGCTGCAGGGACAAACAAGCGCGAAGCGCGCACATGTCTATAGGGTCAGCCTCGCGACGAAGGCGCTCGCCGCTGGCTATCTTGACGCAGGAGCGCCCGCCATATTGGAACCAGGATCAGCAGACGACCCGAATCACCCGCCAAGTGGACACGCCGCGCTGAGCCCTTTAATACCAAACCTCTGAACCCCATGTACCGCAGCGGGGCGCGCCAGGATCGGTCTCCAGTTGCGCTGGGTCATGTGCAGTCGTCGATTCCTGGCTCAAGACACAGCAGAGCTGTCGAAACCGACAAGACAAAGCCTCAACCCTGGACCCGTGCAAGGCCCTGAGCCTCCCAAAGCCAAAGCTTCAACCCTCTAACTCCCGAAAAGCTCGACACCAAGTTCCGGCCTCCCGAGCAGCTCTGGGCCGGTCTAGGCCGCTACAGTCAGGACAGCACAGGCTACACTTTGGGGACAGGGTGCTTAGGGCAGCCGAGCGTAGAAGCCTGGAGGCCTCCCGCACGGCGTATCCCCTAACCGTAACCGTCCTAACCCGCCACGCCCAGGCCCTGAACGCCCCCCAGGCAGAAACATGGCAGCTCGGACCGCTCCAGCAGCGCGTCGACGTTCTCCATGGCGGAATCACAGATCTGTGGCAGGCTGAAGTGGGGAAAGCACTTTGGACTTTCCACGGACCTATCTTCGCTGGGCCCACAGCTGTCCGACCCTTTTAACCTCCACCGGCCCTAAACCCTTAAAGCAGCGCGGCTCAGCTCTGGAACTAAACACGAGGTTGAAGAACAAACCTCAGAGACCCGAAAGCCAACGCGCGTGGCATGCAGAAGTGCCTTGCTCGGAGCCTTTCGCCTAAACAACACGAGGTTGTTCATAAGCAGTCCACCGCCAATAAAACGTGCACTTGCCAAGCCCAACGGCGAGAACAATGAAAACAACCTGATCCGGCCTCCTCTCTGTAGTCGGTCAGGGCCAGCACCTGGGTCAACCTTGAAGTCAGGATCTCGGGGGTTTAAGGCGGGCGTTGGTCAGGGCGGGCACAGGCTTTCGTTTTCAAGCTCAATTGAAGGGCCGGGCTAGGCTACCTCCCCCGGGCTTCCGCCCGAAATCTTACTCTCAAGAGCTTCCAAGGAGCAGCTGGCTGACCTCGTCTTTCAGCGCCTCCCAGGACATTGCTTGATGGGGGTGGAACCCCCTAAACCCCAACCCCCCCAACACTCTGTGGACCAGCACAGGCTGGTTTCTCGATGGGCCAAGACCCTCCTGCCTCAGAACTGCCCAGCTAAGGCGGCTAAGAGGTGACCCCTGTGCCTGTTGCCTGAAGTCCATGCAGGACTTCAAGCCCGACATCCCCCCAATCCTACAAAGTTGGGACGCACCTCCAAACCCTAGATTCCCAGATCCCAGATTGCCAAAAGAGGCCCTCCCAGCCCAAGGACCCCAAGACCGAACACCGCTGATGTCCAAGCCAGTAGCAGAATCGGCCCAAAAACATCTCCCAACACATCCCAGCATACCTAACACCCTCACCCCCCCCCCCCAAACTACACACAAACACACACACACACACAACAACACCAAAACACACACACACACACACACACACACACACACACACACACCACACACACACACCCACACACACACACACAACACACAACACACACACACACACCACAACAACACACACACACACACACACACACTCACACAATCACACACTCACACACTCACGCTCACTCACACTCACTCACACTCACTCACACTCACTCACTCACACACACTCACACGCACTCTCACTCTCACTCTCACTCTCACTCTCACTCTCACTCTCACTCTCACTCTCACTCTCACTCTCACTCTCACTCTCACTCTCACTCTCACTCTTACTCACTCACTACACTACACTCACTCACTCACTACACTACACTACACTACACTACACTACACTCACTCACTCACTCACTCACTCACTCACTCACTCACACACTCACACACTCACTCTTTCTTTCTTTCTTTCGTCACTCTCTCTCTCTCTCTCTCTCTCTCTTTCTTTCTTTCTTTCTTTCTTGGGGGCGTAGGGGCGAACCCCCTGGCTGTGCGCTTGCCCCGGTATTCGGGGATCCTCGGCTTTCCTCTCTCTCTCTCATCTCTCTCCCTCCCTCTCAGTCATTCACACCTTTTGCACCTGCCTGCGGCTTCCTCCGAAATCGCTTCAAAAGGCGATTCATGGAGAACTTCCTGGATCGGCGCGGGCTTCGGGCTGAGGGCTTGAGGTTCGGGTTTGGGGTTTGGCTTGCAGTGGAGAGTTCGGGGCGCAGGGCTTCATCGAGGGCCTTCGGGGCAATCGCGGCTCAGGAGTTCAGGGCCTCAAATGGCTTTACTAGTAAGGAGTGTACAGGCCTTCGACTTCCGAAAAAGTGTTCAGGACGGCGGCGCCTTGGGGCTCCGAGGGTACAAAATGGCACGATGTGAGAGTGGCTTTTGAAACAAAGCTCGGATGTTCTTCATGGGATCGAAGCCTTCTCCCCCCTCCCAAGCCCTGAAATGCCCTGAACACACTTTCAAGCTTTCAAAAAGACCCTGAACTCTCAACCCCCGCCAAACTCTCCCCAAACCCTGCTGCCGTGCGCCTGCAGCAGGTGCCCCAGACATCCTCCCCAAGCATCCAGGGTTGAGGGGTGCTGTCGCGTGGCCCACCTACCCTGGAATCATGAATGGTTGTTGCAAGCCGCTACCCGGCCATACTTGAGGGGACAGGTTTAGAGCGGGGATTTCAAGGGCCGTTTCCGCAACACCTCAGGACCCTGACAGTACAGCACAGTCCTGGCCTCTACATTCAACACCCTTTGAGCCCGGAAGCCTACTGGCAAAGCAGCCCTGCACCATGGAAAACGCACGGAGCCCCAAACCCCCTTACCTTCAAGCGCACATCCCGAAACGGTTCAAGGACGGGATTCAAGAAGGGGAGGGGGGGCCCAGGCCTCATCGAAGTCTGTTGGCGCGAAAAGGCCTTTGGCTGGGGTCACCGCGCAGACTCCCCTGACCCCCCGACCCCTGCCACATGGAATAAAGCCCTTTTGCGCTGAGCATTCAGGAGATCTGGCAGAAGACCGAAACACCCCGCTTGGAGAGGTTCAGAGGCCCGGTCCGCCACCTGCCGTTCGCACCAGGCCGAGTGGCCTCGATTGTTGGGGCGAGTTTGGGGAGGCTCCAAAACTGTTCGGGCTCTGGGCTTTCAAGGGGCGATGAGGGGTTTCGGAGAGCTCGGGGGTGCTCGAGCACGGAAGAAGGCCAAAAGCTCCGCCAAGGCCGGCGCTCCTGCCAAGACTCATCCTGGCCGCATTCGAGGTGTGTGAAAGGGTTGGCTTATAGGGTTAGTAGGAGGGGGGGTCGGGGGGGCGGGGGGCGGTGGGGTCCCGCGCACGTACTTTTGGTGCCGAGGGCTTGAAGTCCGGAGAGGTGTACACTGTTCAAAAGCGAATCGGCGAAGCTCCGCCGGATAAAAGCCCATCTGGTGCATAGAGTCCCCAATCGCCCAAAAGCCCCTCTAAGCCACTATCCGCCCCCAGCAAGAGGACAAATAAAACACCGAGCTGTCCCTCTTTTCGCGGCTTGCCCGAGAAACTGCCCTTCCACGCACCCCAAAAGCCAAGCCGTAAGCCACGAAGCACGAACGCCGCAGATCCAACGGACCAGGGCTTGCCCCGTCATGCCCCGTCTTCGGGTGTAGCCATAGGGCTGCTTGGGGCTTCGGGATGCTTATCCGGTTTAGGAAGTTTAGGGTTTAGGGCTAGGGTCCAGCATGGCAGCAACTTCGCTGCCTGGTCCACGCGGTTGCAAACATTCTCGACCGCTCCTGCTGCATCGCAGCTTCGCTCTGAACGCCTAATTTTACACCCGCAGACTCGCAAATCTCTCGCCTATAGGGCTTGGGGCTTTTTGGGTGTAGGCCCACCAGAAGAACGCAGGCCTGGAAGATTCTCGAAGCATGCAAGCAGAACTGCAGAACCCTCTCAGCAAGAGCCTTCAGCTCAGGCACGCAACAGTAAATAGAGAGAGAGAGAGGGAGCGAGTCAGAGCGAGAGAGAGTCAGAGAGGGAAAAGACAAAAATGACACAGACATCCGACCCCCCTGACCCGAGTGCGGGAAGCCTGCATCCAACATTCCACAACGAAAACAAAGCAAAACTCCCAAGCCGCCAAAGCTGGAATAACCCGGCCTCTGTGAAGATGCCACATGCATTTGCCCACCACGGTACGAGCACTCAAGATTCCCAAACCCAGCCGTGAACGATCGGACATGTCCTGTTCATCCCCGGAATCCGCGCGACTTCGGCTTCGGGGAAATTTGGGGGGCGCTGCTGCTTCGGCCTGCAACAAGAGCATCCCGGCCAGGCTCCTGTGGAGTGCTGTCGTTCGGGACAGCAGGCGCATAGCAATTCTAGCATACGCTCCTGCCTCTTGCCACTTTGCAAGCATTTGTTAATCAGACCGGAGAGGTGCAAGGGTCAATATCCCTAGAGAGACAGTTTATAAGTTTATGCT